AACGCCTGGCAACGAATCCTCAGATGGATCAAGCGCGACGAGGACGTCGCGAGTCTAACGGGGTGTGATTGATACCCAGACCAAGAAATGTTAAAAGATTTGATAGGTACTACTCATACCAATAAGGTGCACTTTCTTTTCCGGAAGTCCATTGTTAGAAACTCTACAGTTAAACGTGCTTGGCTTGAAGCAATATTATGATGGGTGACCCCCTGGAAAGCTTTCTTGGGGAACGTGCAAGTGAGGATAAAGTATACTGAAAAGACCTATATTGGTACAGTGGGGACAGTACGTCGTCGATCTTACGGTTGAGGAAGTGATGCTATAAAATATTTTGAGATCTTAGGGCAGGTAAATTGGAGGGTAAACACATTAAAATAAGTCAAGGATACTTGATTTTTACCTGCAATGATATGTACAAAATCAGATTTTAACCCCAATAGACCACCACATACTTAGTCACCTCCTATTTGTTAATTTATCATTTCCTTCACTCTTAAGCATTATCCAAGTCTACCACTTCTTTAAGATTTAAAATATGTGACATATTATCCATAAATGTCATACAAACCGTTCAAGGAGTGATACAAAATCAGAATGTAACTAGAAGGTGACACATCTTACTTAGCATGTGATGATTTGTCACTTTAATATCAAGTTCCTTCAACCTTAAGGCTTTTATCACGTTTTCTAAAGCCTTATCACCTTATGTTTGATAGATATATATATCTTATAAGTCACATAAGGGTCCAAATATGGGAAATGAAGAGTCAAATATAGCTGCTTGTACACCTCATGCATGGAGACATTTGTCCTTTAACCACCAATTTCTTCATCCTTAAGTATCAAGCACGACCCCATCTCTTAAGACCCTTTTATATAGCCCCTAAAGAGGAAAACAAAAGTCTAGCACTCTCAAGTACACATTTCAACCAAAATTACTCCAAGTTTTAAGGTAAGATACTTTCTATGCTCAAGTGGTAGGATTTCATGGTAATATTTATGCTTAAGCTATGCATGAAAACCATAATATGAAAGTTTTGGACAAGTCCACAAAGTTAGATATCAATATCAATTTATGCCTTAGGACAAGTCCAAGGGCACCGGCAAGCCGGGATGTGCAAGTATGTGTTTGAATATTTTCTTTTGAGTAGTATTAACATGTTAAATTCGAGCATGGTATCTTACTGAGTATACTTTATACTCATAGTATTTTATACTAAATTTTTAGATTCATAATCGTTGAGTTGATGGAAGTCAGTCGGCATACTCGAAGATGGGTTAAGGACAAAGTTACTTTGTATCGAAATTTCCTATTAGTATGTTTTGCTCGAAGACTGTTTTTCTTATGGTATTATATATAAACATGTATAAGACATGGTGTAATATGGTACTGGAAGTAAATTTTGTAATCATATCTTTCATGTTATGTTAAAAGGCAATTTTATAGACCTTTTCCTGTAATGATAAAAGAGGCAGAAACTTGGCAGGTTTTTAGGGTCAATTCAAAATGTTATTACTAGCTCTATAAACACCTATTGGAGACTCTAAAAATACTTCTGAGTTCCTTTTGGAGTTGTCTTAATATGAGCACAAGAATCGCTCAATTTGGATATCAGTAGCCCGAGTTATAAATCTTTAAGCGTCGAAATGTCAATCTGAAGTTTCTGTGCAGTACCTCACTGTTTTTAGTAAAACGTCTATATTATAGTATTTTGGAAATTTTCTATATTTTAACATAGGAAACTACTTGGAATATCTTTCAAATGCTGCAGGTTTCATAGAAAACGGAGTTGTGATGAGTTTTATAAAAAAATTTAAACTGGCTGCCCCAATTAGCCATGACAGCACTGAGTTCGTATATGTAAGGAATACTTACAGGTCAGCATGCACTTCAATCAATTTTCCACATCTAGCTTCTCTATCATCGCTTAATGTAGAATTCACCACATAGGTCGAGGAGTCGAAGTCTAACACCATATAAAGATCTCATGCTCTTAATAATCAAATGTACAGTTTTTTTTTTTTTTTTTAAATGCAATTAAGAGAATGGATGCAAATGACATTGTAAATAGCATGCATGAATCATGTTGGCCAAATGTGATGTGAAATTCGGGGTATTACAGTTACACTATAATTTTCTCTGTATGATGTAAAATTGTGCGCATGTCATATATATACACTGTACTGTATATTTCTTATTTAACTGTACCATATATTGTGTTATTAAAAGGTATAATGATGTTTCAGGTCCGGTTAATGTGTTCGTATTGCAAGAAGCATGACGAAACTGAAGTGCCTGACCCCTACTATGGTGGGCCGCAAGGTTTTGAAAAGGTAATATTTCTCTCCATTGTAACGAGACACGATCAAAACAAGCTGCAGTACTTAATAAATTTAACCGCCTGGTAACTTTTATTCTAGTCTTCTTATAATTGTTTCATATTATTTTCTTGTAAACCTCTTTCATATTATTTTCTTGTAAAACCTACTTTTTGATCATATTACCATCATAATCAAACTATAAGAACTTCTGCTGCGATGTGCGTCAAACTGACATGTGTCTACACGAGTGAAAGCTAATTGAGCTTCATGTATCAGGCACATAGTAGAGGTCACGCTACTTGTATTTTTTGTTTTAAAATTCAGTGGACAGCACTTTGTTTAATCTTGATAATATACAATGATAAATTCTAGGTGAAAATACTTTAATAATATGAAAAGGAATAGCTTTTTTTGGGGAATCAGAATGATTTTTTTTTTTTTTTTTTTTTAAGATTCAGTGGTCAGAAACTTAGTTTAATCTTGATACAATACAGCGACACATTCCCGGGTTAATACTTTAAATGATACAATGGCCTTTTGGGGGAGTCGGAATGTATGAATGGCCTGTTGATGCAGATTAAGATGTCCTCACGGGAATGCAAAGGGATCGTATTCTTTCTTTGTTTTCTCGCTATGAGATCATCGGAATTGGTTACATCTTCATAGAAAATCTATAGCAAAGAAACATGTGGTGGTTCATTGATCTGCTAGATAGGAATGCAGATAAACATTTCCACTAGAAGTGGCTTGCTCGGGCATCTTGCGATTTACTGTAAATTAGAAAGAATTGCTCTATGGGCTAGCACTTGCAATCTACGATCCCTTCATACTTTTAGATAGGGATCCTTTTACCACCTAAGCTGCACGCATAAACCCTGTCTATTATTTTCATTTTAGTTGAGGAAGTCCAACGTTTGATTATCTTCACAATTTCAGAGTTTATCTATACCATAATCACGACACTTGCAACATTAAACATTTGACATGTATATAGTTGGAGCTCAAAGGGCTCAATTTCCGTACTACTAAACATAGTTGCTTTAGATTTTCTCGTAGTTCTAGAATGAACCTCATGAATATCAATTCGATTGAATGCCTCTCATTGTGAGAGTTCTTCAGATCAACTAGAAGCTCTAGGCTCATTACAATGCTGAATTTCGGCAATTAGTATCAATCTACGCTAACGAATAAGGAAGCTTATAACTGTACAAGATATTTACATCAAACTATACAATCATGCCAAATATATGTTGTCCTTGCTGTCCTGATTGACAATGAAGTGGTCAAAAAAGATTTATTGAACCCAATCTTTTTGAGAAAATGCTTGGAGCATGTTTGGCTAAGCTTACAATGTTCACTTCTATGTAAATTGAAATAGATAATTTTTCAGTTTTATCCAAGTCATATATATCTTGATGGTGTAGAAGTATGAAAAAAAGTAACATATCAAAGTTTGGAAACATAGTTAAAGCTTAGCCAAAAATGCTCTTAGTTGTTGATGTGGTGTAAAACTAAACTTCTCTTTGTATTTCTGCCAGGTTCTGGATTTGCTCGAAGATGCTTGTGAGTCGCTACTTGAAAGTATTATAGCTGAAACCTAGAACAGGCGTGTTTCAGATTCTTGAGCCCCTGGGATTCTTCTTCCTGCAAGCTCATTAATCCGATTCAACATCCCGTGGAGCATTCTCAATGAATAAGATCATAGTTTACTCTATCCGACCTCACACTGATTTTGTGGTAATCTGTTTCATAGAGAATTCCAATAATGGCCATGATTAATTGAGCACTTCTTTTTAATATTTGTTAGGATCCCTGACCTTTCATCAAATATTCTACTTTTTTCTAGATACTCGAGTTCAAGTGCATTTGCTCTCAAGAAATCCAAGTGGAAACCATGCCCGAAAAATTACTGACACCTGGAGTTAGCTTAAATTGCTAAAGCAAATCCCACTCCTAATTCGAATAAAAGGACTCTTAATTTTGATAGTTGGAATTTCCAATAGGGCAGGCATTAATATAAAAAATTCCCGAACTGGGACATCATCCGTTGCTAGATCCTCCTTTAGTTTAGGGAGATCGAAAGGGCAAAGAGAGCCACCCTTACTTAAAAAAGTAAGGAATCGAGATTCATCGCTACAGGAGTGTAGAAAAATGTTACAAAGAAAAGATTCCAATTATAGTTAGCAATTTTGGCTTGTTGAATTGGACAAGATTACAAAAGAATGTCTTAAGTTTAATGTTGGGCATGGGGCATAGAACATAATTAGCGGTGCAAGGGAAGCTAGAGACGAATGAATTTAGCAATTCTCTTCATCAATCCTATTCGATATACAAACAAGTCCTTCATGTTTTCTCAAGATTAGATGCAACAGGCTAGTAAGAGTAGATTGCAAATTAGTGAGAAGTTAAAACTACTTCCAAAGACATTCTATAAGGTACAAATCATACATTACAAACTCAGAATATGTTTAATCAACTTCCAGCTAAACCATAATGACCTTGCCAAAAATTAGATTTAGACACGGAAAAAGAATAATAGTATGTTTTTTTCTATTTCTCATAGAAGGCAAAAAGCATACATGAAAGCTAATCACGTCTATGTTCTGCATATTCACACTAAAATCTGAGACCTAGACATCTAGAAAATTGAATTTTGTCAACACCAACTTTACACTTCATGCATCATCCATAATATGATCGTTATCGTTATCACCTGCGTAATATTCATCATCACGCTGGATTTGCTTGTCTTTCTTGTGTCCTGAGATGACATATAAATTAAGGAGAAATGTAACATACTTAAGCACAAGCAGGAAGAATACAATAAACCCACGAGAAGAGAAAAGAGGCCCCGACCAAGTGTGGTCGTGTAGCTATACAGCTTTTACTTACGATTCACTCGTTCATCAGGATTCTGCTCATCTTCATCAAAATCGGGAATGTAAAAATCAGGGGGTACCTAATAAAAAAAAAAATCAGTGAGTTTCATTTAACACAGGAAGTGTTCAATAGAAAAATACATGCAGGGGTTGATATCCTTCATCAACCCATGGACCAATCATTAGTCTTAGACAAGTCAAAATAATATAAGGTAGAAACCACCAATCAGAAAACGACTATTTTTAAGCCCCTTGTATTGTTCAATAGCATTAATCATGAATATTATTGTTAATACACAACATGTTTTTCAACACAAATAAATTTAGGAAAAATTGCACAATTTGGATGGAGGTTGGAGCATTAGTATCAAGTTCGTACCTAACCTTAAAAAAAATTAGTCCTCAAACCTTTTCTGTGTCATTGTTGCAAAAGTATCTCCATTGATGAAAACTGTCTATTTGTTGTTGAAAAGACGATTGTAGACTTTTAAATGAAACGAAAAATAAAATTGAAGAGGATGTTTATTACTTTTCCTATTCTTTCTATTCCCTATTTCTTATTTTATTCGTTTCTTATTAAAATTATTGTGTTTTATCCATTTCACCCTCACAATACTTGACATGCAATTCTAATGGCAAGTTGAATGGAAACTGGGACTATTAGAGGAACAAAAGTAAAAGAACAAGGATTTTAAGTGCTCCAAATCCAAGGTTAGAGCCCAACTTGCTACAGAGGTTATTGGTTTGAATTTCTGCATTTTTTTCCCTCGCACTAATAAATAGGCTAGCAACAGAAGAACTCTTTTTAGCACAAACATAAATCAAATTCTTTGCAGTAGCTTATTTTGCATGCTATGTAGAACATAACTTCCTGCATACACGGAAACAATACTAGTTTGGACTTGAATATTTCCTGTGTTCTGCTTACCTCTTGCAACTGTACACTAGGAGAATGTTGGATGGAGCGAAGATTTTCATGCACTTGCTGCCTGATTGAGTTAAGATACGATTTGCTATTCAAATTCTCCTGCTCGATCAACAAAATTATTAGACGTGGAAATTAAACTTTGTTTGCTGCTTAACAGAAACTTATTAAAACACGTTAACAGAACCAACAAATTCAACTAAGTTTGACAGTGTTCAGTCAACAGATAACACAACATTGCCAGTAAAATTATATAAACACAGATTATTAGCTGATGTATATTGATATTATAGCAAGTAGCCGCAAATGGGGCATGAGTAGAGGGACACACAAAAAGTTTCACATACCATGGGCCCACTCGGAATTTTCAATGAATAATCAGGAGCAAAATATTTGATGTAATCATTTTCTGGTATCTCTGCAAGACAAAGATATATAATAATTAGGATGTAGGACTACGCTAGCTTCATTCTGCAGTAATGGAAAAGATATAGACGGCTTTGGCTAACTTCTGCTCCTGGATGCATTATGAAAAGGCATGCTTAATAGCAGAATTATTAGAGCATATCTGACTATGCTTATAAAGTCTACTTATAAGTAAGTTAATAAGGTTTAAAACAAATAATTTTTTATTGGATAAAGTTGAAAAATGTTACTTATTTTAACAAGTAACTTTTCACATGACTTTTTTTACGACTAAAAAGTTGCTTTTTCTTTTTTGAGCTTAGCCAAACATGCACTAAGCAAATGATACCATAAAACATTGTATATGATGTCACCAAAAAGAAGAAAAGATCAATAATCTGAATGGACAAAAAATGAACAGAAGAAGATATTAATGATGGTGATTAAAGCTAACAAATCATATATATCAGAAAACTGTAATGGGAGACAGAGCATTCCCATTAGACAGAGGTGCATCAGCGTACCATCAGGAAGCTCTGCATCTAAAAGAATTCCAGTCTCTACAGTCCAACATCTAGCCACGTTCTCTTTAGTGTATCCCCCACCTCCAGTTACCTGCAAGAAGAAAACACCTTTCAACGGGTCATAACTCAGAATTACATAACTGGGCATTTCTTAATTTGTTTTGAATATAAGCTTACCAGCAGGGGCAAATTCAAATTCTTCACCAACCTAACGCAAGCTGCATGCCCTGCAGGAAAAATCCAATGATAACGTAAGCAAATATTGTGAAAAGTAGCCAATTTGGTGATGAAGTTGATTAATGAGAATAGCATATGGTAGAATGAAGAGTGACAGCCAACAAAATGGGAAAGGAACAACAAATGTTACAACTACAAGCAAAATAACACCTTCAATGGAAAGGTTGAAGCAGCCCAAACGGTCGCCAGCAAGTGAATCTGCTCCACATTGGAGAACAATTGCCCCCGGTTGATAGGTTTCAACAACCTTCGTAATAACCTGTATAATCACATCACAACCCTTAAATCATCAAATCTGAACAAGAACTGTGTCAGAACAAGCGCCAAGCGTCAATTCAGGAAAACTTACTAACTTAAAGAGACGGCAGAAACTGGTATCATCTATTCCATCCTTGAGGGGGACATTTATGGCATAAAATTTGCCTTCTCTTTCTCCTACATCCTTCAAAATTAAATCAACACAAGGATAAAAATCCTTTGTAATCAGATTAAGATGGAGTCTTAGAATAGTTTGAAAGCTTACTCAAGATTCTTTTACAGATTTCAAGGCCTATCACGAATCACCACCCAGTTTCAATTAAGGAAAATATTAAATTTGAATAACATGTAATTGTCTAAGTTATATTGGCGCAACACTAACCCAGTGAGTGGAAGAAACATGGAATGAATATTATATTCTATGGCTTGCAATAGGCTAGTGATTTTCTGGAATCTAAGGAAAACAATAATTATAAGGGAAAATAACATTTTCAAAGACGCCAAAAGTAAATTGGCTCATGGTAGATACAAAAGCATCCTTTATTACTTAAGAGAATTTTTAAATATAGTACCAGCATTGGAATCTGGCTGCCTGCCCTGAATAATATTCTGGGACCAAAACGAACTCACAAGTGATTCTCAAAGCTAGTTTTCTTAACAGCAGGCCGTTTTAGTTAGAACTCAGAAAAAGCCATTTCATTATTCTGTCAACAAGCTCGGACAAGCACATTAAAGCTGTTTACAGTAATGGAAACAAAATGCACATAAAACACACTGTGGAAATGTTAGAGATATCTGCATTCAGTATATATAGGTCTTAGGGTTAGTCACCAGATTTAAAATACAGTAAAAGATAGACATATCGCACAACTGCATATATCTACAAATCCTTTTCACAACAGATTCTCCTCCTGTTATTCATCAAACCACTCTTTCCGCAAGCACTTCACAGAGAATCGAAGCAGTTTCTTTTAAAGTGATGGAAGCCAGAATTTGATTCAGGAGCAAGTGCAGGAGCAATTTTTTGCAAGGATAAACGTGACCTCAAAAGAATTTGATTCTGAAACACTGATGAACTAAGAGCACAATTACCATATAAATATAAGACCGTCAAGTTATTCAAACTCCGTCAGTGTTCCATATAATGAACCATTCAATCATTGAATGTAATGAACCCTAAGAAACTAATCTATAAAAATAATGCTACATCTCCACATTTCCAATTAAGAGAAGTGAAAAATACAGTTATGAAAAAGAGAGATGGTAGCAGAGGTACCTTGAGATCACCCGTGCCTGGAAAGAACATATCCCCATACTTGTGGAAACTAACAGTCATCACCCTGCCAGATTAAACCTACCAATTTAATTAATATTGGAGTAATCCAACACTCGGTACAATTCAATTATCACTAGTTAAGGTCACCTAAGTGTTCAGGCCAAGTTGAAAGTACTGGTAGCAATTAACGGTTTGAGTTCAACAATATCAATCTAGAACCAGTATGACACTAAACCAAATTCAGGAATGAGATATCTGTGAGCAGATAAGGAACGGGATATCTGCTTACATATAAAATTCCTTTCCAAAACAGACAAAAATTGTATTGGTAAGACAAAAATTGTATTGGTAATAATTGCAAACGTAAGAGTAGGACTAGATAAATAAAGTAAATTTCCAAATTAACCGTCTGTCTAGGAAAGTTCTATCACCAGACTGACTTTTGTAGGATCCAGAATCAATAATAAGCCAAGTGACTTTACCCTTGCCCGACCAATTTACAAGGCCAGTGTCCTCTAACTCTCTCTTTGATTGTTGGCTCTAAAAATCCAGTCTCATGGAGAATTTTAATTCTATCAAACCGTTTGGATGGCAAAAACATCAAATCAAATGCAACAAAAGGAGAAATAAGATTTGAAAGAAAAACTGACGAGGAGAAGAATAATTTAAAGAACAATATCAGATCTGTTTCCAGTTATCTAGGAAACCAGAAAAGAATAGATCGGACATGGTTGGAACTTAAGTTTCACAAATTTAAATTTCCTGAGCATCTTAAAAGAGCACCAAAATTAACATTTCAATTCAAGTAAAAAAAAAAAAACCTCGCTTTGAAAAAGAAAAAAAAAACCATGTTCTTTGACAAACTGACAATAGATCTCTCTGAAATGTCACTTGTATTATCAACACAAAAGATGTAAAAGCCAACTAAAAACACTAAATAAATTTAACGAGGTGTCCAATGCTAAACAGGAAATTAACTTTGAGAGGACCGTATGATAAAAGCTATTTATCTGATTATCAAATGCTAAGTTAAATTAATGATCAGCATCAAAAGTTAACAGGCTGCATATTATGCCCTTGTTTGAGCACAATTTTTTGAAAAAAATGCATTCTTGAATAGTGTTTTGACCCCATTTCAACAATACATTCTTTAATAAAATAATATTAAACGCAAATTTAAAACTTTTTCTTATTTTTTAACCACATATTTCCATCAATAAACTATTCAAAATGCTTTTTGTTTTTTTTTGACAAAAATGGGGCTCAAACAAGCCCTATGTTTTTTTAATACCTATCAGTGAAATAGAAGGCTTCTTCCACCCCATCACCATGATGCACATCAATGTCAATGTACAGAACACGGGCATGATGCTTCAAAAGCTCCAAAATGCCCAAAACTAAGTCATTAACATAACAAAATCCAGATGCTTCACACTTTTTGGCATGGTGCAATCCACCAGCCCAATTTATTGCAATGTCACAAAGCTGGTTGTTCAATCTGCGTGCAGCATCTGAGTAAATATTATGTCAAGGTTAGTAAATGTAAGTCAAACTTTCATGACATAAATGTTAAGATGTGATTTTTACCTATCGTTCCACCAGCATAAATTTGGCAGAACTCGAACAGATTCTCGAAAACAGGACAATCTTCTCCAAGATTATCTAATAAATAAAGAACGATTAGTAGAAATTTACACTGCTCCAATTATACTAAAACAAAGGTAATGGGAAAACTAAAATCATGTAGAAGATTCATATATTTGTATAGCAAACAAAACTTTGATAAATGGTTTGAGTATCAATTACATACAAATTATCTGCATGTTACAGTTGCTTGAATTGTTTTCATGATAGGAACACCTTTACTAAATCAACAATCCAAAATCTAAATTTGAAGACTTCTCATAACCTTTAACCAGTTTCTTCTAATGACTTCTAAAACCTTCCTAGAATCTTGTCATCCAATCTTTATATAAACCCAAATTGACCAAACGCAATAAAAAAACCCATATTAGATGCCTCAAAATTCATAAATTACATATGGTTTCTAATACAAGCCTTGTAGGGAAACTACATGTTGTCAACTAATCTATAGTACTACAGACATTGAAAATCTTTCAATAGTTACCAAAATACTAATAACATCGCTAATAAGGTCCAGTGCTACATCATTGACAGACTCCTACAGATATAAATATCTAATAACAAAACCCTAATTTCAACTTCATTCATCCTTTAAAACCCTAATTTAACTTTATAAATTTCATCAGCAAATAACAAAATTAAATTCCTTCCCTAACCTATAACAACAAAATGCCTTTCACAATCATAAAACAGAACAGATTAACATAAACTTAATTACTCCTTACATTTCACCATCTCATTCGAGAACAAAGCCTGCGTGTCTGGCGTTATTCGATTTAGAAACTCCACATAATCCGCAGAATGGAACTGCGCTAGCTCCACTGGGTATGCCTTATGGGGCCTCTAAATTCCACAAAATTATCAAAAAAATAAAAATAAAAATAAATCCACAAACAATAAAAAAATGCGAATAATTAATCAAAGGAATAAAAATTACGAACATAAATTTCCATCTTGTTGTGTAGCTCGTAAGAGAGAACCAAATGATGAGTCATACATAACCGGTGCGGTTTCATTGGGTGACTCGGCCCGAAGTACACGTTCCCCACATCCCCTGCAATATAATTTCTCTACAATTATTACAGTTGCCACACATATACTTAGAAACACAAGACACAAAATTGAAGAAGAAATGGAAAGAACAGTAGGGTAGCGAACCGTCATAAAAGTAGGCGATTTTGTCCTTGCTCCGCATTTTAGAGGGAAGGAGGAAGAAAATTGCTGCTCAGAAAAATTTTCCGGTGCTTAGTGTCCCGTTTTATCGCCTACTGCATTTGCAGCTACAATTTTCCAACTAAAATTGCGTTCAGCGACTTTTATTTTGGACTCTGGTTCTGTTCGCTTGTCAAGCTGTATCCGGACTTGGAGGTTTATGTCCGTGGCCAATTTGGAGCCTCTATGGTAATTGGGGAGGTAACACAAATATAAATATGATCTTAAATCCACCCATGTATGATCATCAATTTGATTTTATTTCATTTTGATCATTCAACTTTATATTTAGTGTCAATATAATCACTTAAATTGATTTTATTTCATAATGGTCACCAATTTCATATAACGTTTCACTATGACCACCTAATTTCATTTAACATTTCACCGTGATCACCCAATTCCTTTTCACAATTTTCATTGATTTGAAAAGTGGTAAAACGGTAATTTTGTATTATATATATAATAAATTTTAAAAAATAATTTTTTTAAAATTTTAAAAAGTTAATTTTAAATTAAGTTTTTATTTTTACTTAAAATCTTTTTTTTTAAATAAGATGCTATTTTATTTTATTTTTCTAAGTAACTTTTTTTAAAATAAATTTTTATTTGATTTTATTTTTTTAAGTAACCTTTTTTAAAATAAATTTTTCTTTTTTTAAAAAATAAATTTTAAAAAAAATCTATTTTATATATGTGATGCAAAATTACTGTTTTATCCCTTTTAAAATTAATGAAAATGGTGTAAAAAAGTTGTGTGACCATGATGAAACGTTACATGAAATTGGGTGGCCTTTATAAAACCTTATATGAAATTGAGTAGCCGTTGTTAAATAAAATAAAATTGTATGGCCATGATAACTCTAAGGGCCTATTTGGTAGGAATTCTCATTTTCTACAGTAAATCAATTCTCATTTTCAACCACACATTCTTCAATAAAATAATATTTTCTATCACATCAATAATCTTATCTTCTTTTTCAACCACACATTTCCCATCATATCACTATTCAAAATCAATTCTTCCCCCAAAAAATCCATACCAAACAAGCTCTAAGTATAAAGTTGGATGGTCATGACGAAACTAAGAACTTGTCTGCTGCTGATTTTCCTTCCAAATAATTGCTTTTTGAGCCGTTAATTTCTGACCGTTAGACACAACAATCTGTCAGAAATGTTGATTTTTTGATCGTTGCCTTCTTCAACGGTCAGAAAAGCCATTATTTTGGACATTTTAATCAGCAGCAGACAAGCCCTAAATCAAATTAGATGGTCACAGCGACACCAAGTATAAAGTTTGGTGACCATTAGTGAATTTGACCCTACGAATATCATATCTCTTCCAATTCTTTTTATTTTACATCTTTAAATTTAATCAAATGGAAAAACGAGGCGAGAAATTAACATATTTTAATTTCATCGTATCCCGCCTCCCAAAAAATGCCCTAAGATGGGGATACTATGGCTCCACAAGCTGTCATCATCCCTACACGGCATAGCATCAAGAAACAAAGCAAAATAAAAGAGTATAGTCGACACGTCTTCGAGGCATTTTTACTATGATTTCTAATCACATTTAGTATTGCTTATTGAAAATGGACTCAATAAAATTGAATAGTTTCACAAGGACGCTTCAAAAGTCCTCTAAAATTTTTGCTCGCGCATGTCAAAACAAAGAAACCCAGCAATTTGTTGGGTTTGTCTCATTTGATTAATTTTTCTTCATCTTATTAGAATCTTACATTTGGCTCAATTTTATAAATTATGTTCAATGCTAAAGAGTCGTTTATCCATATAGAAAACACACGTCGGTTCTTAACCACGATGCACTCATACAAGAAATGGTTTTGACATCACATGTTCTCGAATAGAGTAATGTTATTCATCTCCATTGGGGTTATAAACACAGTTTAGGTGACTCTAAATGATAGGTTGAATGAAAAGTGAAATTAAATGATTTATTTAATTTCACCTATCATTTAATTCTACATTAATGTCATCAGACTGTGTTTATAACCCCAATGAGGATGAATAGCATTACTCTCTCGAATATCGTTATAAAGAGAGAGAATCATATAGAAAAACTTCAAAATTATTAGGCTATGTTTGGTTGTAGTTCTTTTCCCTAGAACTAGGAAAAACTTTTCCACTTTCCACATTTTTCCTTGTTTGATTTGTAAAGTTTTCCGTGGATTTCATTTTCCATTTTAAAACTCACGCGCCACTTTTTCAAAGTTTTCATGGAATTTCTTTTCTTGTTGTTTTGTTGGATTTTCATTTTCTAGCTTTTTCATTTTTTTTTTT